TTGGAAATCGTTAAGTTTTTCTACTCCGTGACTCCAAAGCACAAATGTGTTATCAACGTATCTAAACCATACCCTTGGCTTGTATGCTGAGTCCATTACCCTCTTCTCTAAATGCTCCATGAAAAGGTTGGCTACGACCGGGCTATGGGAAGCCCACTAAGTCCGGTTGATTACTTTCTACAGACCAATAAGAACGGATTTTCTGCCTTTTTTTTTTTGTTATTTTTAAAACAGTCAAACATCCGGTTTGGGGAAGATCTATGGTACAAGGTAATTATTATTTTTTTCCATACCGGTAGTGAACAAAATACAGTGCGTTAAGTTTTGGATTAGGTATACACTATAAATGGCAACACTGCGCGTCGTCGACTTGCACTACATATCTGCTTCGTTGACTCGTCGTTGCTCGTCGCCCGTCGGCAAATTTGTCATATTGTAATTATACCGTGGTTGTTTAAAGGTATAACAGCGTAGAGTTTAAATTTATTTTTCTACTCTCTTACTAGTAAATTGTATATTACCTACTATTTGGATGCTAAGTAAATGCATCATAACAGATACCGACACGTAATGACTAGCACGTAATAAAAAAAATTACGCTTCAGTTTTTATAAAAATGTGTAATATCACATAAGCCTCGTAAGTCAGTTGGTCGAGTTACCATGGAAACGAATTAACAGAAGTTATTTTGACAGATTAAAAAATGATTAATCTGTCAGTGTGAATATAGTGGTAATTTAATTTTTTATAAACGAAAATAATCGTAGAAAAAGTATAGTACATAACTTGAGTTATAAGCTTATTACATGCTTGTAAAATTACTGCGCTCGCCGCTAAGCGGCTCGCGCGCAACTTTTTTACTCGCATGTAATAAGCTTCTTACAACTCTCGTTATGTAATATACTATTTTGCAAACATGTCTGTTTATATGGCCGCGGAAAAAGCTCAAATAATAAAATGGTTTTATAGTGGCAATTCTGCGCAACAGTGTGTAAATTTATTTTCTGTGTTTTTTTAGGCAAGACCAATTCCTTGTGTACAGTCAATTTATAATATTGTTAAAAATTTTGAGAGTTGTTATTGCCTCAAAAATTGCAGAAAATGTCACGCTCGAGAAGTGTTACCAGAAAAAGTTGAGGAAAGAGAATACCGGAATACACAAATTTGTGCAACAATCGAGGTAGATTCAACACGTTCAAGTAGAAGCGTTGCTAGAGAGTTAGATGTTAGCAATGTTACTGTAACGAACGTATGGAAAAAGCACGGCTACAAGAATTTTAAATATTCGAAAACGCAGCAGCTTTATCCAGACGATACTTTCGAAGAATGGAGTTTTGTGAAACTCTAATAACGAAGGCTAATAGTGAACCAAATTTTATTAAAAACATTTTATTCACTGATGAATCTTCTGTTTCGTTAGTAGGGAGACACAATCCTTCCATTACGAGGTATTGGGCGCGGGAAAACCAGCACAGAAGTGTTGTTTACCGAACTCAACGTCCTCAAAAAGTTAACGCCTGGACTGGCATTTTAGGAGACCACATAATAGGTCCATTTTTTATTGAGGGCAACTTGAATAGTAGAGTATACCTCGATTTGTTACAGAATCATGTTCTTCCCGCTATTCTCAATCTTCCTGATGTAAATCTGGAGAATGTTTGGTTTCATCAAGACGGCTGTTCAGTTCACAACGCTCGAATTATTAGGGAGTATTTAAACAATACTTTCCCGAATCGAGTTATCAGTGGAACAGGCGATATTAAGTGGCCTGCGCGATCCCCAGATCTTACACCCATGGACTTCTTTTTTTGGGGACATTTAAAAAGCATTATCTACGCTCATCCTGAGGCTAGAGCCCAAAATTTGGATGAATTAAAAAATCGAATAAGAGAAGTCTCCAATTCTGTTACAGCAGAAACTCTTTCATCTGTTCGCAGAAGTTTTTTATGACAGATTGGGGTAACTGTTCAGCCGTAGAAGGTCAACTATTTGAACCATTTCTGTAGGTCATAAAGAATTATTTTTTATTTTATTAGGAATAATATTTTAATTTTCAATAAGAGTATATTTTTTATTTTATCTTTTTAAAGAAATACGCTTTTATTTTTAATTCAACCACAAAAAAATTTTCACATTAATAAAAATCGATAACAATGCACCGATTAGGTCAGTGCATTTTTATCGAATTTCCTACTATTAAAATCGGCTTTACGTAATGAAACATGAGATCGGACGACAGAGAAGTACATTCCTAACGTTGTTGTGAGTTACTAAACTAAAATAAATGATTTTCTGTCGATGTAGATTTTCGGGTCGGAGAACGAACATTTGCAACGTTGCCGATTTTAGCGCTCCGTATAGTGTGTAATACCTAATCAAAAACTTAACGCACTGTATTAAGATATCGTGGAGAATACGGACTCCCTCTTAACATCAAAAATACCAAATGAAAATTAGCAAGAACAACAATACAAACGAAATATTAACGGTAGGCGGCCAGCAGATTGAGAGAGTAAAAAATATATGGGAACGATAATCACAGAAAATAACGATTATACTGCAGAAATACGAGTCAGAATTGAAAAAGCACATGCCAACTTCGTGAAAAGGAAAAAGATTTTATGCAGCAACGATCTGACATTGGCCCTCAGAATAAGGCTAATTAAATGCTATGTACACAGTGTACTCTACTATGGAGTTGAATCAGGGATATTAAACCGGAATACAATAAATCGATTTAACGCGTTTGAAATGTGGACATTTAGAAGATTGTCAAGGATTCCATGGGTAGATAGAGTCACGAATACAGAAGTATTAAGGGAAAATTGGCAGATAGAGGGAAATGGAAAATACAATATAAAAAAAAAAAGGAAATTGCAATTTCTCCGATATGTGATGAGAGGCAAAAGATACAACATCTTGAGACTCATAATTCAAGGAAAAATAGAGGTTAGGAGAAGCGTAGGAAGAAGACGCGTTTCCTGGTTGAAGAACCTGAGAGAGTAGCTGGTTGCAACTCAAGGCAATTGTTCAGAACAGCTGCCTCGAAGGTGAGAATAGCCATGATGATTGCCAACCTTCGTCGCGGAAATGGCACTTAAAGAAGAAGAATACCGGTAAAATTGTCTGTTTTAATTTGCTAAATCCTAAAATTTTCGTTCTTCATATAAGTTAATGGGTTTAAATCATGAATGTGTTGCTTGTGTGAGTCCATTTCAAATAGGTAAAGAAATAATAAATAAGACTTACTCACAATCAATTTAATTTAACTATCAGACGACCGGTTTCGCTTTCTACAATATGCAAAGCATCTTCAGGTCTCGATACAAAGTTAAATAAATGGTGAAATGATAAAAAACCCATATTAGGGTGTTGTCTAATAAAGATAAACAAAGTAGATGTTGGAAATTACAATAATTATGCCAATATTACATGTCTGTGGTTTTATTTCAAAAAGAGTAAGTTGAATAAAAAGGTATAAAAAGTTTTAAAAGTTTAAACAGACAAGGTAAGGCCCACAAATTGTTATAAAATAGTCTATTAGATTGTAGTAAATTAATAAATATGCAAATAAATAAACATTACTTACATGCCCGTACTCTATTAATTGATAGATGGTAGAACATGGTTGAAACTACTATGTATTGTTGAATGGAGAACTCAATTCTGCTATTGTAGTTGTATGACAGTAAACGGGAAGTTCTTGAGGAGATAGATTTGATCCAATGAAGCAGAGATATGTGTGTGATTGTTTGTTAAATGAAAGTGATGTAATATACCATTGTATTATTAAAAGTTATTTATACTTATTCGAGAGATATATTTATGAAATGTGTGTTATTTATTGAGTAATTGTTTTATGAAGGTGACAGTTTTATGACAATGAATAAGTTTAGATGTACAAATTGTGTGGGTGTGCATTTTTTTTTCTTTTTTTTTTTCCTGATAACTACAAGTTTTCTTGATATCTACAAGTTGAAAAATAATTGCACACCCACACAATTTGTACATCTAAACTTATTCATTGTCATAAAACTGTCACCTTCATAAAATAATTACTCAATAAATAACACACATTTCATAAATATATCTCTCGAATAAGTATAAATAACTTTTAATAATACAATGGTATATTACATCACTTTCATTTAACAAACAATCACACACATATCTCTGCTTCATTGGATCAAATCTATCTCCTCAAGAACTTCCCGTTTACTGTCATACAACTACAATAGCAGAATTGAGTTCTCCATTCAACAATACATAGTAGTTTCAACCATGTTCTACCATCTATCAATTAATAGAGTACCGGCATGTAAGTAATGTTTATTTATTTGCTCATTTATTAATTTATTACAATCTAATAGACTATTTTATAACAATTTGTGGGCCTTACCTTGTCTGCTTAAACTTTTAAAACTTTTTATACCTTTTTATTCAACTTACTCTTTTTTAAATAAAACCACAGACATGGTTTTATATAATTATTGTAATTTCCAACATCTACTTTGTTTATCTTTATTAGACAACACCCTAATATGGGTTTTTATCATTTCAGCATTTATTTAACTTTGTATCGAGACCTGAAGATGCTTTGCATATTGTAGAAAGCGAAACCGGTCGTCTGATAGTTAAATTAAATTGATTGTGAGTAAGTCTTATTTATTATTTCTTTACCTATTTTTAATGAGTTTACTTTTTGGATACTTCCAATTACTTCTAACCATAAATGGTTAATGGTTATACGATTCTGAAAATCTACTGGTTTTCTTATATCATGTCATCAAAATGTACATGTACATCAAAAGTACTCTAGTGGAGATTTTATCCAGAACTTTTATCGCTACTAGTCGAAGCGCGGACTTTGTCACAAAAATTGATCACACTGTCTAAGTCCTTATAATCAGAAATCGCCCATTTGAGAAAAAAATTGGTACACAATTTAAAGTGTATTTTAAATGTGTAAAGTATTTCATACAAATAATATCATAATTTACCTGATAATAATTGGAGTTTGATTCCTCTAGTATAAGACTCTCCTCGTAGCACAGATGCTTTCTTGAGATACAGTTGACCATAGTAACAAGTTAATGGTAGTTCGGGAGCAAATGCCTGTTCAACACCGGCACCACTGTAGATAGCAAGACGAGATACCAATGGAGAACTACCTGCTGGAAACTGTAAAGAGCCCAAGTTGTGTGTACTACCTATAAAAACATAAAATTATTATAATCTTATATTTCTCCAACGTATTTTTTAAATATAAAACTTATGCACGAGAGACTGATAATCACCAATGATAAGGATCATACATTCATATATAAAGAACGTTTGCAGCTCTTACTTAGAGTCCTTTGTATGAAAGTCTTGTATGTTACATGCGTTGTTTGTTACATGCTCGGTCCATGATATCTTCAGGATTCTTCTACACACCCACAGTTCAAATGCTTACAACTTTTTAGTAGTCGACGCGTTAAGTGTCCATGCTTCTATCCCGTAAAGCAGAGTCGAGAAAATAGAACACCTTGCCAGCCTAACTCTAAAGTCTAATTTCAGTTCTCTTGCACAAAGTACCTTTCTCATTTTATTGAAGTTTGTTCGTGCTTTCTCTATTCGAACTTTGATTTTTTTGGAGTAATTGTTTGCGTGATTAATTATTGTGCCACGATAATTTTAGTTTTCAACTTGTTATAAAGTTATAATGGTCAGGCATTCATCATTATTTTGGGTTTTTGATATCGTCATAAATTTAGTTTTCTTGATGTTTATTGATAATCCATATTCTTCTCCATACTCACCTATCTTGTTCATTAGCTTTTGGAGGTCTTGGAGGTTGTCTGCTTGTATGATAGTATCGTCTGCATATTTAATGTTGTTAATCTCTCTTCTAATGAGTGTTGATTAATGTGTATGTGTACCTGCAGTTTATAATATAGAATTGTTATAATTAGAAGATCATTTGTATTATAATTGTTTTGCTTTGAGGATGTCCATTAGCTCTTTGTGGCGGACTTGATCGAAAGCCTTCTTGTAATCTATGAAACAGACGTACATATCTTGATTTACATCCAAGCATCTCTGAATTAGTACGTTGAATGTAAAGAGAGCTTCACGGGTACCTACACTTCTACGGAATCCAAATTGGGTGTTTTAAATATCCATATCCATGGATGATCTTTAAAAACATTTTAAGTGTGTGAGACATCAGGTTTATGGTGCGGTGGTCGGTGCATTCTCTATAATTTTTCTTTTTTAGAAGACAAATAAATGTTGAGGTCAACCATTCTTTGGATGTGTCACAAGACTGATAAATTTCATTAAAGGGCTTTAAGAGGACATCCATGTACTAATTTTCTATTAGTTTAAGGATATCAATAGGCAGTTGATCTGGCCTCGGACTGTTTCCGCTTATGGTGTTCTTCAGTACATACAATATTTCTTCCTTTGTAATTTCTATACTTTTTTTTCTGTCCTCGAAAGCTATCTCTTGTAGGTTTCCTCTTTCGTCGTCGAAGAGCTCTTCCATATATTCTTTCCATCGTTTTAGCTTTTCGTCAGTTGTTATCATAGTATTTCCATTTTTATCTCTTTGCAAGGAACGAGGAGGCAGTTTTTAATGTTTCCCATTGTTGGTTTATCTCGTACGTGTATGTATCTAATTTATCAAAGTTTTCGTATATTTTCTGTTGGAGTTTGTTTTTTATATCAGCTTCTTTCAGTGTTCTAACATCTAATTTTTGAGTTCTTTGGTGTTTTTTAATACGTTTAAGCTTAAGCGTGACGTTAGCGATTAGTGGGTTATGGTCTGATGTGAAATCTGCTCCTGGATATGTTTCAACTGATTTGATGGTGTTACGATATCTCTCTTTAATAATTATATAATCGATTTGGTTTCTTACCACGTTTTTCGGTTTATCTGCACATGTACATAACCGTCTCATAGATAATTTAAAGAACGTGTTTGTGATTATTAGACTTTGTTCTTGGCAGAATTGTATTAGACGATCTCCTCTATCGTTACGTTCCCCTAGTCCTTGATCTCTCATTATTGTTCCAGCACTTCCCTTGCCGACTTTTGCATTGAAATCGCCCATAACTACCGTGATTTCCCCGTTCTTTCTCATTTTCAGTGTATCTTCAATTTGTTGTTACATAGTTCATCTTCTGTTACATGCGTCGTTTTCGCATATACTTGAATCAAATTTAGATTTGTGTGTGATGTCGCACATTTGTAGTAGCATCACTCTTTCTGAGATTGGGATAGAATCCTCTATTGACTTTTTGACCTCTGTATTGACAATAATTGCTACTCCACTTCTATGCTGGTTGTAAATGTTTCCCGAGTAATATAAGGTACCGGTTTCTGTCGAAAGGTATCCTGAGTTAAGCCACCATGTTTCGCTTATACCTAATAAATTTATATTCATTCTTCTCATTTCTTGAAGGATGTTATGCATTTTACCAGATTGACACATGCTTTTGACGTTCCACGTACTAATTTTGCTTTTAATAATTTTACTTTGTCTTACTAATGTTTGACAAGGGTTTCGCCGGTTAACGACCTGGGAATCCTTGTCTGTTCCTCCCCTGTCGGATCTTGGGCTCCGATTCCCATGATCAGTTTCTTTTTTCTTTTAGTACTCATTGCCGTGATGACTGTACTAGATATCCAATTGGATCTTTAATGGAGTGGTTTCCCTTTGCCTTCTGCATTCTTATACCGTTGACCATTTACTTAATTCATTCGCCTTTGGTCATAATTATCATACCCACTTGGGGTATCACATCTAGCAACTCAAGTATCCGAAACAACATAGTCAAGGCGTATCTAAATACCACGGGATGAAAATCGGGAGCATTATTTTATTCTACCAGAGTGCAATCACGGCAACAGTGTAACCTCGAATACAAACAAACAATGGAATCGGACAATCGTCAGTAATTCATAAGCGTACAGTCTGGTAATGCGGGAACGAAACATTTGTTGATATAAATTCTATTTTATTACCTAGAATTAATATAGTATATACTTACCACACTGAAACTTCGACTCTACGGGAAAATAAAAAGAAAGCCCTCTAAAATTTAACATAAACAGTTGTTTTTCCGAATCGTAAACACCAGGATGAGTGGCTCCAAAGGAATGTTCGATTTGTTCTATAGAAGGCAAAATTTCTGGGGAATTAAATTCTAATCCACTAAAACAATAACATAACATTTACTTTATCCATTTATAATCATTATTTACTGAACATTTGTAACCTTAAAATACGTACCAATATTTCAGCTTAACAAATTTCATTGAATAAATCTCGATAATTTTAAGTCTCTGGGAAACTGGGTCGAAAAACAGTCTAATTCCATCATGTGGAAGATTGATAACTAAATCGGCTTCTAATGGTTTCTAAAAAATAAACAATCTTGTAAATTACATAGTACAGATCAAATTAAGAGTAACAAAATACACTGCTCCAAGAAATTAATGCACCAATTGAGGACCCAAGAAGTAAAGGGGTATAAGTGATAATTTTGTAAATATTGGAAAATCTGCATCGCTGAACTGGAAGTTCATCTTATTTCATTCTATATGGAGTCAAAGATATCTAAGCGATAAGTCTACTACTGTCTAGAGGCAAGCTCTTTAGCCTCCAAGTCAACTATGAGTAGGGCTTGGAAGAGAAGAGATAAAAGTGCACTTGTACCCCTGTTCCACTGTGCCAGTGTAATGTAATACATAGATGGGTTTTTATGAAGGTAAGGAAAACGCTGTCACCAAATGTAATACACACACTTTCTGGCTGTCACCAGATGTAATACTTTATAGATCCTCAAAGGATGCTAACCCTGCGAGCAGCTGCAAGGAATACTGGTCACACTAGTCTGGAGGGCTGGCTCGTCTTCGTGGATTTACGAGAAGATAAGGGATTTTCGGGATAGGGGTAAGGACTCCTAGGTCTCAGGTCCTGTAAAGAGCAGAGGTTATGGGCTTACTTTTGAAGCCGGAGATATGCATAAGCAGAATCTTGTATTCTCCTAGTCTCTAATGAGTCGGACGAAAAGAACATTAAAGATCCAATTTAGAGTCTACAATATATTGAATTTACCCTGAAGTTACAAATACAATCATTAACACGTCATTCTGCGCGTCGGGAGACGAGGAGCGAGGGAGTGAAGAGTTGACAGTTGTACTATTATAATTACTCAGGTTAGTATATAGAAATCTGTTACCTTATGTGTATTTAGGCTTTCAACCACGACCCGTTTCGGTCCTCTGGAGCTCGGTCAGTTGAGGGGTCTCACTCTGTGTTACGAACTTACGAGTTACCACAATAACCGGACTACACGAGATACTATGCCGGGTGTTAAGCACTCCCCGGAGAATTACCGACTGCCCGCGTATTCGACGCTACCGCGTCGAGAGTACCCGGAGCAGGCAATTGATGCCTTGACGGCTCCCGCCGTATCACTGCTACCCGATTGACCAAGTTTTCTAGTTTTTATGTCCTGCAAACATTCTTAGTTTTGTTTTGTTAATTCTGCTGTACTATTCCACGTGTTGGAATGTAACATGCGATGGTGTGTCGCTTCGTTGTATTAGTTTTCATGAAGGTCTTCGGATTTCGTAATTCTTAAACATTCGTGCTTGTATCAAACTAGGTCAAATTGTTATACTTTGTATAATTTAAATGTATAAGTTAACTGTATTAATTATCCCTTATTTAATTCGGAATATATAATAATTATCTCGAATAATTATTATCTTTTCTATGCTACTTAGCCCTTTATTCCAACTCCCCACTCACTTGCTACGCTTACATTACACCAGACTGTTAGTTGAGTTTGTTATCATTTTGAATGGATAGTGGTATAGCTCCTCTAAAACAATATTATTTTGTTGTTAAAATAATACTTTAATGTAAATTGCAGCGTTTTACGTTATTATAAACTAAAGTGTTTTTAAAAAGAGTTCGTTTCGGATTCGGAGGCCAGATAAGAGGAAAATAGCTAAAATAACAAGAAATTCAGGTAAGGTTACATGGACAAAAAACACAATACTCGTAAAGCGAAAAAGTTACGAGAACTTAAAAATCTAATTGTAGGAATAAATGTACAATAATATTTCACAAGAACAAAGACTTTCAATTTTTAAAGAGTATTGAGCATTGGGCACTGGAATCTCCAAACAGCTTTCTAAATCGATCCACAGAGACTCAACCTATAAAAAGAAAAAAACTAAATGCAGTTAGTCTGAAAAACTCTAAATGTCTCCAGCAAAAGTTTACGAAATGTAGTTAAAAGCAAAAAAAGTCTCCTCAAGCGTGTCATGCATAGACAAATGAGGAAAGAAATCACCTCCGAACAAAATTTCTGAAAGGGCAATTAAAATCATAAAAGAGCATATTAATAAGTTCCCTGGGTATACAAGCCACTACAGTAAAAATAAGACTCCGAATAGGAGGTATCTTCATCCGGAGTGTAATGTGAAAATAATGTTCAAACTTTATTGTGATTTCTGTAAGGAGGAAAAACAGGAAGAACTTGTAAAGGAAAGCTTTCACAGGAATATTTTTAATACTTAGTTCAAACTTAGTTTCAAAAGGCCAAGTATAGACACCTGTGATAGATGTGACAAGTTTTAGATAAGAATAAATCATGGTTCGGCGGAAGAAAACACTTAGTTTAGACAGAAAAAGGCTTTTACTTTCGTAAGGCTGAAGCCGTATGAAACTTAGACAAGGAAAGAGTGATGCCACTTTTTGATGTGTCCGCCATTTTTTTGGTGGCAAACAATAGACCTGACACCAGTTTTGTCTTTGTGGTTTTTTAAAAAAAGTGAATTAAATACCTATTTTTTTTTACTTAACAAAATGGTGAATTGTGCATATATTCTTTGTAAAAATCGCAGCGAGCAGAAGAAAACACCAGGAATATCGTTTCATAGGTAAATATTTATAATAGTGCAATTAAGTATTCATTGATTTTACTTTTTATTTCAATTTTAAACCTCAAAACCAATTTAAATTAGTATTTTAAGGAAAGGTGAGATCTAAATTAGTAAATAAGAATGCTAAATATGCATAGTTATTTCAGTAATTATAGTATAATTAATAATTTCACTCACACACCATGATGATTTGCCTTTGGCGGTGTGCGTTGAGGGTTAAAATTCCATAAAATATTCCATAAAAGTCAATAAATAAGTAAATAAATAAATAAATTTCGTTAATTTTGATTTCAAAATATTTGTATAAAATAAAATAAATTAAATAAAACATTTTATGTACAAAATTGTTTCATTTTAAATACGAATTAGTCAATCCTTAAAAATACAAAGATATGCCGCTGACCACTACCTCTGGTGTCAGTTTGGCTTCACTTTTAGCGATACGGTTACGCTTCCTCTCTCTTTCCTTGTCTAAGGTATAAACAGCAAAAGATGAGTGTCATGACCTAAAGGATGCTAGCAAAGTTGCGATCATCTTCGACTTGCCAAAAACTATGCCAAGTCCTAATGTGTCAACTTCTAAAGCATACTATTTAAGGCAACAATGGACGTATAACATTATAATTGTCGCATTTAGTGAAAACTCTGGAGGTCACAAGAAGAGTCATTTGACAGCCAAAATTTAGCTCTACATTGTTAAAAACACTAATATTCAAACAATAGATCATCGCTTTTTTATAAGTGGTCATTCTTATAATGACTTTGGTTTGATAGAGTTAAAAAAGAAAAGAACCAAAAAGGACCTGTATAGAACTTCTACAAGTAGAAAGTTTATTACAGTACAGATGAAAACTGACGATTTTTTTAGACTTTCAAATACTTGCGCCATACTTCAAGAAGAGCAAACAATAGAAGCAATAGAAGAAAAATGTCTCTCCTCAAATTTAGGGAAAGTATCATCGACGCATGATGTTCAAAGTGTTACAAGTGAATTATTCAAAGTGATGGAAAACTCCAAGCAGATCGAAAAACAAAAAAAGTACCAACCTTTTGTGATACTTGTAAAAACAAACCTTATTTATGCCTAGATTGTTTTAATATTATCCATAGTTATTAATACTTTTTAAATATTTTCAATTTTTTAAGGTATCTAATATAAAATTGTAATAAAATTTCATTCAAACTGGTTTGTTGTATTTTTATGAAATAATTTATTCTGTATTGAAAAACTGTGCTAGCAGTATCAATATGTATTGATATATCATATTACAACTTTCAATTTTTAAAATAGATATATATTTGAAATTTTCGTCATAATTATTTTTTTTATTATACGATTCTCGTGACCCACCGGTGGACCGCATCGTCTGCAGGAGCCCAAGACCTGTCGACCCACCGGTGGGTCGTTTCGCTGTTACGGACAAACTGTTAGCTCCGGCTTGAACGTTGTATATATTAACGGAATATTATTTGTATATATTAACGGAAAAACTCATCAAATACTTGGCTATTGCAATATCCAGGACAACACTGAGTGTCATAGCGCCGAGTTTAAAATACATGTAAGAAATAAAAGTTAAAACAAATTGCAAAACCAAAACAAAGGAATTCAGTAGCTTTAAGTATATAAATAAATACAATTATAATGTTTTAATACATTATAATACATAAAACTAACTAAAACAAAAACTTTGTATAGGTATTGTTTACTGACAGTGACCATGAACTTAACCAATAACGACTTAGGTATATACCACTTTTATAATTAGTCCATTCACAACAATAAACAATAATGTTATTGACGACACCAAAAAAAAAACAAATTATTTTACATTTTGCAGCTTTTTCCATAGTATACCTGAGTTATAATAGATCGTCAAAGAGATAGTAAACTAAAAAAAACTAGCAGTATATACACTGACTTCTCCAAGGCCTTTGATCTGGTAAATCATAAATATTTTAATATTTACACTTAAAAAAATGAGTGTTAAAAAACTTGAATTCGATTTTATTTAATGAGTGGCAAAAAATAATGGGAATTTGCCCATATATGGTATAATATATGGGGTATATGTAATACTTTCTGATGTACTTTTGTGTGATGTGTTTATTTATTTTTTATTAATTGGTAGAAGTTCCTTATGTTTTTGCTTATTTTGCATTCATCAATTTCTTGTAGTTAATCATACAAAAGAACATGGTGATGATGATGATAGACCAAAAGAAAAATGATTACAATGTACCAACTGTTCAAGATGAGCTCATGAAGCTGCAATTCTGACAATGTTATATAAAGAACTTGGGTTATCACATCCCAGTTCGGTACAAATTGTGACATTTGAAGTTACCTCCTTGTTTTGCTAATAACTGAGTTTGTGTAGCTTCTAATATGTTCATTTTTATATTTTTTGTATAAGAAAAGTTCATATTAAGTAAATACATTCAATTCAACTTAATAGTATTATTATCTAGATGTACAAGAAATTAAATGTGAAAATTGTCACAACCAACTTCTGTATCTCTACTAATTTATTATGTGCGCACACACATTTTTCACATTTCGTCTTCTATTCATATTTTCTATTTTTTTTTTAATTTCCATTAATTTAGTAAAAAAGATTTAATATTATACTTACTATATCACTGTAAAGTACTTGAACACCTTTAATAATACCAACTTGGGACTGAATGATGGCAACAGCTTGTGAAAAATGCATTCCTAAAAATATATTTAATTACAATAAATAATAAACATATTATCAAATATTAATATTTATTACACAACCTTTCATCATAATAGGATTCAATTTCAATGTTAATTTAACTTTTTGAATAATATTTATATTTTATTATAATTTACAGTTATATTTTATTATACAACACAATTGAAATACACAAATAAACCTTAGAAAAGACTGAAATACGAGATCACCTGGTTGTCCAACAAAGTTTAAAAAAAAATACAAAGAGAATAGTAAAAGAGGACTGTATTAAGGGTTGCCAGAAATTAATCATTTACACGAATCCATTTATAAACTTGAGTTACAATATTGTCAAAAAGTCTAAGGAAAATCGTTAAAGAAATCACACAGGCAAATTCTATCGATAATAATGTAGCAATAGTAGTAGATCCAGTCATGGTAAGTAATATTTTTAATGAATATCTTTTAAATGCTGCTACACATCTTTTGGAATATACCAAAAATTATAACTCAGCACCAAAATACAGTTTAACAAAAACTTATTTTTTCTAATGTGTGACTATAAATTAAGTAAATGAATTAATTAGAAAATTGAAAAATAAATGCACTTCAGGTTATGATGGGATACCTACAATATAATAAAAGTGTGTGCATATGAGCTAGCTATACCACTATGTCATATAATAAACAATATCTTCATAAATGGGATTTTTCCAGACAACTTAAAAATAGCTGTAGTAACACCAGTGTATAAAAAAGGTGATGCCACTTTACTAGAAAATTATCGTCCAATAAGCCTCTTACCATCATTCTCCAAGGTTTTTGAAATAGTCATTCATGTGTGTCAGGCTTCTCAGTTTTTTCTATAGTGAGGGACTGTTATGCCATGCACAACATGGGTACCTTAAGGGAAAATCTATAGAGACTGCCATGTATGATTTTATAACAAAGATAAATGAGGGTTATGAAAACAAAGATATATCTATGGGCATATTTTTAGATTTATCAAAAGCATTTGATACTTTAAATCAGAAAATACTAATGGAAAAGCTTTACAGATATGGTATTAGAGGGCCAGGTTATAGTTGGATATAATCATACCTATCACACAGAAAACAGAAAGTAAAATTTGAGTACAAGGGAAGAAATTGATTCTCTGGTGAAGGTCTCATTTCAGTGGGAATTCTTCAGGGAAGTATTATGGGTCCTCTTCTCTTTGTTTTTTATATAAATGATTTAGCTTTAGACATTACAGATATCAATCAGAATACTCTTATTGTGGAATTTGCAGATGATACTAACATTTTAACTATAGGGTCATCATTGAATAATTTATTGAATATTGCTAATAATAGATTAGAAAAAGCAAAGAGATGGCTCAATATGAATAAACTCATACTGAACAGAGAAAAACAAATTATATCTGTTTGGTCACTAAAACAAATAATAGTACCTTATCAGAAACTGTCTCAATTCAATCGCAAATGGTTACTCTAAACCAAAGCATAAAATTTCTGGGGTACATATTGACCAAAATTTAGATTTTGGAGTGCATATAAATGAGATCTGTAACAGGTTAGCATATATCTGCTACTCTTTCAGAATAACAACAAATTATTTGGACGAAAAATGTAAATGAGTTGTATATTTTTCAAATTTTCATTCTGTAATGCAATTTGGAATAGTTTTCTGGGGGGAAGTGGTAACACTGAACAGGTTTTTATATTACAAAAAAGAGCAATCAGAACTCGACTTAACTTCAAATACAGGGATTCATGTAGAGGTAATTTCAAAAACCGAAACATACTAACAATGGCTGGAACATACATATATGAATGCTTACTTTTCATTTTTTAAAAATAGACATAAATTCTTGAAACACATAACAAACTATAATACTAATACACGAAACAATCTCATAAACTATAATATACCAATACATAGACTAACAGTAGTTAGGTGAAAACCACAGAATATGCCTGTATTAAATTCTTTAATAAACTGCCTTACAACATCAAAATACAAACTAAAATAAAATATAGAAAGTCTGTTCAACAGTTGCTCATACACCTTGAACTGTACAAAGTGGAAGAATACCTTCAAGCTGACCTGCGGGGAGACTGAGGGCTCTTATCTGATTAATCAAATTAATGACTATGAAAATAATATTGTATCTTGTGTTTCTATGCCCTTGTTTCCTTCTATATTAGTATTGATGCATTTTTGCAGTCTATTATCATTGTATAACCAGACATTGCACATTACCAACACAACTGGAATAACACTAGACAAAGTAGAAATACATATCTTTTAGAAAAATATTTTAATGCTTATCAGAAGATGGTAATGAAAATCCTGAACATATTATTTCTAAATACTTTTCTCATGTGAAAACAAAATGATTTGTTGTAATATTCTGTCACCATTTCAGCAATATTCAAGAAGCCCTATTTATAAAAAATCATTATATTCTGTAAATAAAGGAGAATTTTTACAATAGTTTCATTAACACTATACTCTAAAATATAAAAATTAAAGCAACAATGTTTTTGTTTAACTTATACATAGACAAAGCTCTAAATCATTAAACCCTGAACTAAAACAAACAATTTAAGTTTATAACATTAACTCATTGGATGTTAAAGCCGTGATACCAGTTTACAAATGCTATTTATACTAAATAAATTATCAGAAGAGTTCATTCCTTCCATTCAATCAAAAAGGTAAATTATTACACAATTGCAAAAAATATTTACCACAATAATTGGATTGACAGAACTTACCTAATATAAATTCCCATTGTTCACAGCCCAAAGAACGTTCAGGTACAACTTCGAGAGTCAACATTCTGTTTTTAAGCGCAAATTCGTAAATACCATGAAGAAAACAATTTATACTTAATTACGTTTTGGTTTATTTGACAATTCTTTGTCCAAAATAAAGTTGAATGTCAGTGTCAATAATACAACAGCTGATTAATATTTTACCAACTGTAAGACTGTCAGTTTAGGCAACATAATTTGTTGTGGAAAATTAGTGTATTTTATCATCCCTTTGCTACGGTAACGTGTTATTAAAAAAGTTATAACCATATTTCATTTAATAGTATGTACAGAATTTATGTTTAATAAAGTAAAAATACTACAAACCTGCCAGTTCTAACGAAATTATAAAATTCTTTTTACGTATGAACTGTTGCCTATCGTTTAGGAATCTTCTATGTTTATCATAAATCAAAAAATTACCGAGTAAATCATGGGTCGATGTTGATAGAGCGATTATTCTAAACGTAATAAAAAATTACAATAAAGAAAGCAATTTTATGATCCGCAGAAAAAGAAACAAAAAGAGGAAAAATATCTGTCCAGTCTTAGATTGAAAAATTGTATTATATAGAGAAACACTAACAACGGATTCCAATTCAGCACTTAATTTATTACGGCAAAAATTCTCAAACCAGAAATATACTCAGATGCAAAAAATGCAACAGAGAAAATTTTGGTCAAATTTAAAGTATTTCATTTTTTTCATTTTTAGTCATGTTTTGATGATTTTTTAGCACACTGTGTAAAAATTTATAAAATTTAATTTAGTGTAGTGAGTTTTTTAATAAAATTTTGTATTTGGGAGTCTACGGAGTTAATCGAAAGGTGGTTTTTTATCCTAACTTTGAAACATCCTGTGGAATAATTTCGTTAGCGGATTTTCCTATTTTGCCACCTTGTTTTTCGATGGCAATCATGTTTTCTAGGTATTATCACAGAATAAATAACAATCAGAACGTCCATTCTCAGATGGCGCCTTTGAAGTTTGTCAGCACGCGAACGTTATGTTCATAGAAAAATAATATAGTACAGAAAGCCATGTTTTAGACGGAATAGAATAGACTCCAATTGAGAAATTTGTGACAAGCTACGACAGAACTGTAATTTAAAATAGATTAATAATTTTAGCACATTTGAAATAATTTAATCTATTCTTCAACTAAAAGTACGAATAAAATAGTGCACATTATGTCTGTAGTTGCCGTAAATAAATTAAACCGTGTTAATTTGTCTATGCACACCAGATAAAATGTCACTGAACAGCACTGGTCCAACTAAAACATGGACGATTCCGTATGCACGAACGAGATGCGCGTACTTATTTTTTCAAGCAAAGTGGGCATTCTGATTGTTTATTATCCTGTACCCTTACCTTGCAACAAACGATCGATTTTATTTCTATCTACAACTTTGCTTGCAAAATAATAATTCGCATAAAATAGTAATTTACGTAACAAGTTCCAAAAGTGATATTTTACGAGACGAGTAGGAAGTTTCCAGGGCGAGCTGTAGGCGAGTCCTATATCCAGGAATATATCCTATAATATTTTTTCTGTAGCTGTTTTGTATGTTTAAAAGAATATATGGATAAACTTTACTTATGTACTTTTATCTAACAAAAAGAGAAATCATACGATTTCTACCTGGCGAAATCGAATTCAAATATAAGCCGCCGTACCCCCTAAGATTTGATGAATGCATCGGCAAGGGAGTCTAAAAATTGCACTCCAAATGCCGTTCATCATGGCCTATATTCGTAGTCACTTCGATTTCTGGTACTCCAAATGAAGTAAATAAACAAAACAAAATGACGGTATTATATTTTGATTTGATACAGAGCAGCAACAAGCCGCATATACGTATTTCGATCTCTTTAGATCTCCTCAGTACGGTATAGTTACTACTCCATATCAAACCAAAATATTTTCCCGTCGTAGATTATAGTTATTAAAAATAACTATTTACGGACGTAACTACGCTATCTAAGAACAAAAAGAGAAATCATACGATTTCTACCTGGCGAAATCGAATTCAAATATAAGCCGCCGTGCCCCCTAAGACTTGCGAAGCAAACAGCTTGATGAATGCATCGGCAAGGGAGTCTAAAAATTGCACTCCAAATGCCGTTCATCATGGCCTATATTCGTAGTGAATTCGATTTCTGGTACTCCAAATGAAGTAAATAAACAAAACAAAATGACGGTATTATATATTTTTTATATTACGGTATTATATAGGGGGCACGGCGGCTTATATTTGAATTCGATTTCGCCAGGTAGAAATCGTATGATTTCTCTTTTTGTTCTTAGATGGCGTAGTTACGTCCGTAAATAGTTATTTTTAATAACTATAATCTACGACGGGAAAATATTTTGATTTGATATGGAGTAGTAACTATACCGTACTGAGGAGATCTAAAGAGATCGAAATACGTATATTCGGCTTGTTGCTGCTCTGTATCAAATCAAAATATAATATAGTCATTGTTTTTATCTAACACTTTAAAGTTATGTACTCGCGTGAATTCAACATTAGAAAAATATACTTCTATGAATATTAATAACACAATTATTTACATTAATATTTTTACTAATATTAACATAAGTGGCAGTATTGAAATTAGTGTTAGACGTGTCAGTACTTTTACTATTTTTTGAGATATTAACTTGTTGCGGTCATTTTCAACCTGTGAAGCTATGTGAATTTTATTTCGTAAAGAATTTTCTACGTATCCCTCTGCTACATTAGTTGATTTCCATCCTCCGTGTCTTTTAAAGTTGGTTATAGTACCAGCACTATCAGCCAGTAAAGTGGTTGAGTTCCTTCGTAGACAGTGCCCAGTGTATTCTTTGGAATGCGGTAATTTAAGAAATTCAGTAATAAAGCAGGAGATTTTTCCAAAAGTAAATACCAATAGGTTTTATAATACACCTTCCATTTTTGTAATATACAAATAATCTATAATACAGTGTGTTTTCTTGGTCTCATCTGGAATCATTTCGGCTTCACTTTCACTGCTGATTTCCATTTCTTGGAATTGAAAAACGAAAAACTGAGCGAAAACACACGAATATTAAATGACAAGCATTGTCATAATAAAATACAAAGTTGATGTCCTTGTCAAAGCCGTTACCTAGCTATCCAAAATCGTCCGGAAAGTGAAAAAATTAGTCCCGAAAGTAGCTACTACGAGTTGTGTAAAATGGTACTTTCGATTTAATAAATCATACCGAAAGTTTTATTTTCAGGACATTTTTCTGTTTGTAGGGAAAAGGTAGTGAATAAAAATTAACTTTTTCTTTTTAATTTTTATGACTTTATTTTGGTAAATACATTTTTTAACAAGCGTCAACACTTAATGCGCAACATTTATATTCGATCAACCTGAAATTTATTTAAAAACGGCCAATCGAAAAAGGCAGGCTTTTATTAGGGTACTTTTTTCTTTTAAATATATAGATACTTCTCAAACATGAAAAAGTTGAGTAGGTACTACATTTCCAGCATTCTGATTAACATTTTCACTTCAAATGATGACAATCAATGAGAATTCTTAGATTATTGTAAAATAGTTGAAGAATTTTGATTTCTTCAAAATGTTTTATTGTTAATAATATTTAACTGTGTATAATGTAAACAAGAGGAGTTATTTTTTATGCTTAATTTACGGTAATTACATGTTTATTCCACGAATTTCAGTAAATTGCTTTGAAACTTACAGTAATTCATCAGTCTCTGAAAATATGGACGATGACGTGTTGGGACGACACGAAGAAATAGTTAAACATGGTTTAGGGCACAGCTTAATTGAGTTCTGTCAACTTTTTGGTTTAAAAATAATGAATACTCAATTCCAACATAAAGATATTCATACATGCACTTGGGAACGACCTTCACTCCAACAGAAGTTGATCATAAATTATATAATAATGAGACAGAAATCAAAATTTAAGTATCAAGACTGCAAAGTAAAAAGAGGATCTAACTGTGAGACAGATCACTACTTTCTTTAAGCTAATCTTTTGTGCCCCTTTAAACAATACTACAAACAGAACACCCAAAAGTGAGAGAAATAATACTACACAGTACATAACGGAGATATATAAATTGCACCTTTTATTACAACCAAGTATTCTTTTTCAACATCTTTTTCAATCTATATTAAAAAAGGAACTAAATGAGCTGGAAAGAAATATGGATGTAGAACCAGAATACAATAACCACAAAACAATAATAAAAAAAATTGCTTACTATTAAATATTATTACGAAATGTTAACTAGGATATATTGATTACTATTTATAACTGGGAATAAGCCACAATTAAAGATAAAACTACATTTATTGACGTTTCAATTTCCAATTCGGAAATCGTTCTCAAAATACAAATAGTAAATTAAACAAATTTTGTTTTTGTTACATAGTGAAAAAATTCTTCTGATAATTTAACTTTATCTGACTCATTTATATTGACAATTCAGACATACATTATGCATTTTAAAGTAGACGACTTTAAAATGATATTGCCAATATTGTTGAGTTGCGCTCCTGGGACGACTTTACTTATAAGATAGTTCATTCGATTACATGAAATCAACTTTAACTTGAGAATATCCGTCAGAAAAAATCATAGCATGTAATTCGTCTTTAAAAAGACAAACACATGACATGATGACAGTAAAATTCTCCTGTTAGTGATTCCATAGTAAATTATGAGGGAAAAACCAGGAAAAAAACCTCATAATACTATCCCGACATTGTAAGTATTTGTTCGTGAATTTAGTTTACCTTCAACAAACATCAAAATTCTGATTTTATGTTACGTTATTTAAAAAACATAAATGATGTATCCTCTATATGTTACTGACTTACTAATACTGGTATTTTCTTATTAATAACTTCCTCTTTCAATATTGGTAACCAGATCCTACTACATTCTGCCGAGGAATTTGCGACACAATTGGCCTCATTTAGCATAATTAGAGCCGCTTCTTTGATTTTTCTTTTTTTACCATCCGTTTCTTTTAGGACTATATTTGAATTATTCCATTGAACTCTATGTTCATTATCCCATGCGTGTTTACATATTTGAGATCTATC